AGTCGAGCATCACATCGATGCTTTGGATATGGTCGTCCGAGTCGGTCGTACCATCATAATTTGCCAAGGGCGAGGTTTTTTCCATCCCGACAGGCAAGGGAGTCTCCCTGATGGCCCTGGAAAGTGGTGAGCGCTGGTTGTCCTTGTCGCTCTTGACAGTTGATCGAGAAAGGGACAGGTCACCCCGATCGTTCCTGTTTCGTCTAGGAGGACTCGTCGATCGACCCTTTAGCTTATCAGCGTAACCGCCAACTTTATTCCTCTTCTGAGTGGGGGAGCGTCGCTCATTCTGGGGAAGGGGATCGGTCACGCTTTTAGATGGCCACTGGTTGAGGCCGCTCAAAGCAAGGACGACGCCCAGTCTGTCGGGAAGAAGGGCTCTGAGAGTCTTCGTGTCGTATCCTCCGTGGGGGAGGAGAGGGACTGCTGGAAATAGGGCGATGATGTCTCCACAGGGGAGAGCGGTATTGTTGTTTCTTCTCGAGCAACCCTATCCACTCACTATGTTGTAAGATCATCAAATTTGTCTAGTTAATCTCCGTGAATATAGCCACCATGGTCGGGTCGGCGCTAGGTAGCATCGGGATCAACTAGTTGATTGTTGGGCTATCAAAGTGTCGTGTGGTGTTGAAGGTCGCGTCTTCTGTGGAGGGAAAGGAGGTGTGCCCATCCATGGAGTCGCCCTCTTCGACATGAACGGTCACATTGGGGTCTTCGCCGTCACCGTTGGTGAACGGAGCGGAGGCGGTTTTTGAAGCGTTGTCATTGCGTGGGCTGGCCATGATTAAATAGAGATTGAATGTTGCTTTGGTCCTTGAGCTTCTATGCTTCTATAAGAGAAAGAACGGGGGAGCAAAGGGTTCCCACAGACGGCGCCACTGATCTTACTAGATTAGAAAGGGATCAGCAATCTGCCATGCGTCGTGAGCTCCTGTGTTCACCGATGTTGAAGAGGAAGAGGGGGTGTACCTGCAAGGTACTCTGATGCTAATGTGAGTAACGAAGTTAGAGATAGCAAGTACAGAGAAAAGGTTTAGTGAATAGAATACCTGGCCCTCTAGTGAAAGAGGGTATTTATAGTGTGCCCTCAGGGCTGGGCCAACTGTTAATTTGCATGGCTGGGATGTCAGGCCCAACACAAGTAACTACTAAGGTCTACATGGCATAGGGAAGACCAACACGTTCTCTTCATCCTGGTCTAACTGCCCCATGATCTTCGGAAGATGGAAGATCGGTTCTTTAGGATAGGGTAGTTGCCTGACGACGTGTCCCCGCGTGAGGAACACGTGGAGAAGATGGGGAAGGCGTGTGAGCTCTCCCCGTGCTAGGTAGTGGTGTGCTCGACCGTAAAGAGTATTGGGTCTTTGTTGGGTCTCTCCAACGTAGTATTGGGTTAGGTCTGCATGATGTCCTAGCCATGATGGTTGTGTCTTAGAAACTTAGAAGGTATTTCCTAGCACATCCTATAATAATTCGAACAAATTTACCACTGAGACAAACATTATATCGGTATAACTTAGCTTGAAGACCTCAAAAAATGGGCGATATAGTTGTTTGAGTTTGTAGTCTCTTTCAAAGCTAGGAAATCTCTGAAGGCCCAACTATTTGCTTACTTCTTAGAAGAAATGACCCAAGCATCATCTAGCTCAAAACCCGTTTGGGTGGTTTTCATAAATGATTCATCCAACTATCGTGGAAGTGGCGCGAGAGTCATTTTAGAAAATAAACGTTGGTTAATGGTCGAGGTCTCGTTGAGATTTTAATTTCCGACCACCAATAAACAAGCAAAATATGAAGCAGTTCTTGCAGGGATCATATCTTAAGGCATAGAGTTTAGTTTGTTAGTTAAGTTGTAAAGCTTTGCTCCAAGACACTAAGTCTATGAGCTTGAGAACAGAGTGTTTCTTGTTTTCCATACTAATGATATATTAGTGTTGAATCTATTTGTTGTACACCACTCTATGTTTCAGTAACTTGGCATAGTTGTTGGTTTGTTTTAGTTGAGTTATAAATTCAACAATCATTGTATTAATGGTTAAGTTGATCACTAGGGGTTAGTTACTGAGATAAAGTGAGAGGGATTTTCATATTTAGGGGGAGACCTAAATAAAAAGTCACTAGGATTAGGGAGAGACATAAAACTTTATAGGGTTTGGGGTTCTTATAAGACTAATTTTTCTAATTCAAAGTAGTGAATTTCCTTTCTTGGGTAGAGTGTCCCCCCAGACATAGGTGTGTTTCACCGAACTGGGTTACCAATTTCTTATGTTCTCGTTATTCCTTTTTTACTTCACCATCTTATATAAGTTAAGATACTATAAATGATGCATAGTGATATATCCCGTTGGACTAGTTGTCCCAACATCGTATCCGACATCAATCCTCTAAAGAACAAAATTTAGTAACTTTGGTAATCAATTATTTTAAGGACTAGAATTGATTAGAACAAGATGTCAATCAATTTTCTCATCAATTCTGCCCATGGATCATTTCCTTTTCTGGATTTTCCATCACCTATATAAAGGAGGCTCGCCTCCTCTACATTTCACACCATTTTTTAAAGCTTTACATTTTCTTTGGAATTTATCTCTCTATTTTCTCTCTTTCACTCTCTAGAAATATATCTTTGTCACTTAAGTTGCCTTAGTGCTTTTGAGTGAAACTTTGGTTATGAGAAAGAGTTTGTAAGTGGTCCTGCTGGGTGTTTAAATTCTTGAAAGTGAAATACTCTTGTGAGATTGAGTTTGACTCGTGAGATAAACCAGTCATAAAATTTTTGTTTTGCTTTCTAGAAATTTTTCGAAAAAAATTATGTTTTGGTTATTGAGATAAGCCTGAAAATCTCTAAGAAGATTTGTTAGCTTAAATTATGGTAAAAATTATCTTTGGTTGGGGATAAGCCTTTAAAAATCTTAAGATCAGATCGTATTAAGATTCGTGGGCATAACCTATAAAGCTCAAAGTTTATAATCAAAATCTCAAGAAGATCTCTTGAGGACAGAACTAGGCCAACGTTCAGCTAAATCTGGACAAACCTCTAACGTAATCTCTCTAACCCTTAAATTCTTTAAATTTTTCTATTTACTTTAATGTTTTTTATTTATTCTGCTATTAACTCTTCTCATAAGAAATTACTAACAAAATTTCAAGTATAATCAAGAAAATCACTAAATCAATTGTGAATTTTAAATACCTAAATTCACCCCCTCCCCCATCATGTGATTGAAGTCACTTGTCCAACAAGGATAATATAAACACTGAACTTTCATGAGAGGATCCCTGCATAACAAAAAGTAATAACTTAACTTAAAGTCTCTCTAAAGTGGCTTAACTTAAAGTCTCTATTGAGGGATTTAACTTAAAGTTTTGCCAGATGGAATCAACTAAAGTATCTCCTGAAGACTCAACTTAAAGTATCGCCAAAGGGCCTCAACTTAAATTCTTGCATGAGGAACTCAACTTAAAGTCTCGCTCGAGGGATTTAACTTAAAGTTTTTCCTAAGAACTCAAGTCTTGCAAGAGGGACTCAACTTAAAGCCTTTCATGACGGACTCAACTTAGAACTTTGTAGAGGGGTTTACAAAATCATGTAGTCATTTACAAGGCCTTGTGCTTGAGGGACTGCGTACTGGTATATAAGCAAGGACTACACAAGAGGCAGCGTAATATTCACCAAGAGCAAGTGGATAATGTCCATCGCCCAAAGTCAGGATTTAGCCGCCTTTTGCTTCCAATGTTTGCCAACTTATCGTAACGAGCGTATTCATTTGATACGTCCACCCTTAGATTAGGTTACTCACCTACTTGAGAGAACGTGGAGAGCGACGTGTCCATACTCGGTAACTGCTTGAGAGACAGCTAAATATAAGAGAAATATTCTCAAAAAAAAGGAATAATCATTCATTCTTCATGCTCCTAAGAAATATGATTGTTGTTAATTTGAGCCTAAAATTCATTTCAAAATTACCCCTATAAATACTTCAACCCTAAGGTTGAGAGGGGACATTTAATTTTCACCCGAAAACACCATTATACATAATTTCTCACCACCATACACACCCTAAAGAGTTGTTATGTATTATATTTTAGCAAGTATGTAATTAAATAAAAATATATAACTAAATAATAATAATAAAATTAAAAAATAATTAATAAAATATTTTAACAACAACTATCATATTTATAAATATATTATTAAAAATATAAATTAAATAACATAGAATTTATATAATTTTACACTGTCATTTAATAGAAATACTGTCATTTAATAGAAATTCATTTAATAGAAATTCATTAATATACCATATCATATATTACAATCTGATACAAGAGGATATATAGTAGCTATTAATTACTAGTGTAAAATTACATATCTAATTTTTTCAATAACATATATTTCTGTCATAAATACAATGTATATTTCTTTTTAAATAGCATATCAGGAAGAAAGTGATATAAGAAAGGCAAAAAGTGTAGCTTTATTATTTTAAAATAATTTAAACTTGTACTCCTTTTTTTCCCTCTAAAAGAGAAATAGAAAACTTAAAACGTTAAATTTGTATGGTATGAAAATTATGAGGAAGTGGTTGCTTAAATCAACGGACCAAAATCATCGTTGTGTTTCGTAAGCGCCAACTTTCACAACAATGAGCATTTTCTCTTTTAAAAATATGACAGATATATTTTTAAAACGGTCAACTGATGTTGGTGTTTTTAAAATTATCAACGTTAAAGATTAATTGCATAAAGTTAATTTTTTATATTCTTTAAATTATCAACGTATTTGGTCTATTATACACTCTAAATACATTGATAATATTGAGAATCTTTCAAATATCAAAAAAGAAGAAAAAAAAAGGAAAAAAAGTTAATTTATTAGTTTAAACATTGAAGTTTTCTAAGAAACTAAAATGGATCTGCTATAACCTTTACTATTTTAAACCAAGTGGTATTCATATAAATGACTTGTCAATGAATGGATTAGAGGGTGTGATATAAGAATGTTAAAGTGTTGGTTAGTTGGTTTGTGGATTGTTTTGGGTTATGTCTGCTTGTTGAGTACTACTTTTGGGGTAGAAGGTAACCCTATTGAGGATTTGGTTGAGAGGTTACCAGGGCAACCCAAGGTTAACTTTAGACAATATGCTGGTTATGTTGATATTGATCTCAAACATGGGAGGAGTCTCTTCTACTATTTTGTTGAGGCTGATCATCATCATCCTCACAAAAAACCTCTTACTCTTTGGCTCAATGGAGGTAATAATCAATTATTATCTATATAGTACAGATACCGTGAATACGACACCAACATTACTGATTATAATTATGGGTGGTTACTTAATTTTTAGGTCCGGGATGTTCTTCTATCGGAGGAGGCGCCTTTAGTGAATTAGGTCCATTTTATCCTAACGGTGACGGACGTGGTTTAAGAAAGAATTCAAAATCTTGGAATAAAGGTATTTATAAGAATAATTTTAATTTCTAAAAGAATATTCTAACATGAATATATTTTGTGTTTATGATTTTTATAGTTTCGAATCTTCTGTTTGTGGAGTCTCCTGCTGGAGTTGGTTGGTCATACTCAAATACATCTTCTGATTATACCATTGGTGATGATGCTACAGGTATTACATACTTATTATCTATGCAAAAGAAAATTTTATTTTTGACATGTTATATTAAGCATCATTATGATTCTTTAATTTGTTTTCCACAGCTAATGATATGCTATTGTTCATGTTAAAATGGTATGAGAAATTTCCTTCATACAAATCAAAGGAGTTATTTCTTACAGGAGAAAGCTATGCAGGTTCAACAATAACAACAATTATTTTCTATTGTTTTTTTTTTGTCTCAACAATCATCAATTTTTATTTCTTACTAATTAACATTTATAGTGTTACTATTATTCAGGACATTACATACCTCAGTTAACTAATGTTCTTATTGATTATAATAATCATTCAACCAGTTTCAAATTCAATATAAAAGGAGTTGCTGTAAGATCTCACCAACATGTGATATATTTAATTACTTTAATATATTTATTATTTTATATTTTATTACTTTTTTTCTTTGCTTTATCAGATTGGAAATCCTCTTCTAAATTTCAACCGTGATACACAAGCAACGTATGATTATTTGTGGTCGCATGGAATGGTTTCTGATGAAATTCATCTTACTCTTAAGAATGATTGCGATTTTAATGCGACTTATGATAACTTATCTAAATCATGTAAAGATGCCATGATTGATGTACAAGGAATTGTGAGTGACTATGTAGACAACTATGATGTGATTCTTGATGTTTGTTATCCATCCATAGCTCAACAAGAATTAAGATTGAAAAAAATGGTACCTTTTCTCTTTTGTTTTTCTCATAATGATTTTTATTTTTAATAATTAATTTGTGAGTTAATTCATTATTTTATTTCAATAATTTAGGCTACTAAAACAAGTTTAAACGTAGATGTTTGTATGGACTATGAAGTTGATTTCTATCTCAATCTTCCAAATGTTCAAAAAGCTCTTCATGCTAATCGCACAAATCTATCGTATCCATGGTCTCAATGCAGTGAGTAAGTACAACTTTTTTTTATAATTTAAAAATTATGTGTAACGATAAAAAATGTCTCTTCTTCACTCTTTTTGTTGTTGTTGCTGCAGTGTTTTAGATTATAATGCTTTGGATCATGATATAAATATCCTCCCAATTCTGAAAAGGATTGTACAAAACCACATTTCACTATGGGTTTATAGGTAATTTATTTTAGAGTAAAAACTTATTTCAGTTTCTACAAAAATGTTAATCAATTTATGTATATTATTATGACAGTGGCGATCAAGATTCAATTGTGCCATTATTAGGTACTCGTAGATTCATTCGTGAGCTAGCTAATGACCTAAAATTAAAGATTACAGACCCATATAGAGTTTGGTTCCACAAAGGCCAAGTAAATACATATTTTTGTTAACAAATAATTATTTTATGCATATTAAAAAAATGATTTGAGTGGTTTTGCAATTTTATTTAGTCAAATGAATTTATTTGTAGGTTGGAGGTTGGGTAACTGAGTATGGAAATTTATTGACTTTTGCAACTGTAAGAGGAGCTGGTCACATGGTGCCATATACACAACCTTCAAGAGCATTGCATCTGTTCAGTTCATTTGTAAGTGGCAGGAGATTGTCAAACACTACTCAACCTTCAATTATTGATTAAATTTTTAATATAAGTAAATAGTATGGCGGGTAATTTAGGGTCTCTATTTTTTAGAAAAATGAAAAACTTTATTATAAAAGATATAAATAAAACAAAATAGATGGTATTTCAAAATTTTATTGTAATATGTCTCTCTCTCTTCAAATGGATGTTATTTTAGGAATGAAGATCAACATAAGGAATGCATACTTTTTTTTTCTTTCATTATATAAACAAATGTATGAGTTTATAATCAATAACAAAGATTCAATTTTGTTCATATTAAGATATCATGATCACTCTCGTGGAGAGTAGATTCGATCTTTCATTCATTTTTAATTTTCATATTGAAAATTGTTTCTTTTTTTTTTTTTTTTTCGTTTTGTGGACTCTTCGATTGTTATCCATTGCAACATAATTGTGTGCATTCATCATCTGGAACATCATTCATATTTCATTTTTCATCTTTTATTAACAATGACACCATGAGTAGCTCAAATTCAAGCTATTCAATATCGATTTGATTTTGTTCCATTAAGGAACCAGAGTTGATTGGTGAATCGGTGGTTGTGATGAACAACAGTGGATCGGAGCTTCCAGTGCGATGAAGGAAGGGGTTAACATGCAAAGTTAGCACTCAATCGCTCAAGTCAGTATAAGAAGGAGAATAGTGAATTGAATTGAAATTAAAATTGTGTACCTGGAAATGGCGTGTGTTCCCTTTATATAGTGGAGTGGTTATAACAACTTGTTATTTATTATGTGTGTAATGTGGGGAGCTATAAGATGCATTTGGAGCTACTATTGATCTGCGGATTCTACGACTATTTGGTTGTATCTCGAATATCCATCCAAAAAACAGTACCAGGCTTGTCCGACTAATCTTTCAAGCAAGTGATCTATAAATGGCAATGTAAAGTGATCCTTCTGTGTGGCTAGATTTAACTTGTGATAATCAGTACACATTCTCCATCCCACAACAGTACGAGTTGGGATTAATTCATTTTTTTCCATTATGAATAACAATGGTGCCCCATTTTTTTGGAACTACATGAAATGGGCTTACCTACGAACTATCAGAAATAGGATAAATCATACATGCTTCAAGTACTTTAAGGATTTCTTTTCTTACCACTTCTTTCATTGCTGAATTTAATTGTCGTTGAGGTTGAACAACCAATTTAAATTTTCTATCAAACTTACAGTATAATGGGATAATTCTCTTAAAGTATGATACTCTCCATCTTAATGCCTCTTCATTTGTCTTTAGTACTCGTAACAGTTTCTCCTCTTCGACTTTTGACAAAGTGTTACTAATAATTGTGGGGTGCTTATTTATTTGACTTAAGAAAACATATTTCAAATGTTCAGGGAGTTCTTTTAGTTCGGGATCCGATGGTTTCTTCTCAATACTTTCTCTTAATTCTTCAAAAAAGTTATAAGCACGACGCAACTGTGCTACTTGCAATTGTAGTACCAACTTATTTACCTCCTTATGATGATCGTCTCTCACTATTTCTTCGATAGATTGCACTAAAACCTTTTCTATTGGAGATGACGGGCCTTTTTCTTTTGAAACATTTACTATTAGTTCATCAATTAAATCAATTTGGTAGTATTGCAAATCTTCTTGAGCATGTTTCATGACTTCAAAAATATTAAATATTACTTGCTCTTTATTAAACCGGAGAATCAATTCTCCTCTTTCCACATCAGTCAATGCTCTACCGGTTGTAAGGAAAGGTTTTCCTAACAACAATGGTGTTTTGGCATCTTCCGGCATATCTAAAATGAAGAAATCGGCAGGAAATGATAAATCATCAACCTTTACTAATACGTCTTCCAGTACTTCATAGGGATAAGTGACAGATTGGTAGGCCAAAGTCAGTCATCTTTATCGGTTTGGGCTCCCCACAATTTAATTTCTTCATCATAGACAACGACATTAAATTGATGCCTGCTGCTAAATCACAGAGTGTCTGGCCAATTTTTAATGAACCTGTAGAGAAATGGATGGTAAATATACCTGGATCTGTTAGTTTAGGTGTTAATTTGCATTGAATGATGGCACTACATTTCTTTTATAAAGCTACAATTTCATCATCCTTCGATTCACGTTTACCGTTCGAAAGTTCTTTCATGAATTTAGCATATACATGGATTTGTTCCAAAGAATCACAAAAAGGGATGTGTACTTGTAACGCTGTGAGCATCTCCATGAACTTTTTAAACTACCCCACTTCCATCTCCCTCTTCAGTTTCTTCTTATTCAGATGATAAGGTAGTTTGGTCCAATCAGGTAAAGGAAGGTTTGGTTCATTTAGGATTTGGTTTTTTGTTCTCCTAAAAGTTGAGTATTTATCAATGAATTTATCAAATGTCTCTCCCTTCTCAAGAGTCTCTCTTGAAACCTCTTATTATGTGGTGTGGATTTTGGTTCCTCCTATTTCTCATTGTTCTATTCCACTATTTTTTTCCTATGTTTCTACTAGGGGCTGAGGGAATTGTGCAATTTCTCAATTCTATTGCGTCACAGTTTCCTCTTTCTTGGATTAATTATGTGATTTGATGTGACAAGTTAGACATTTTCCCTTCCATTCTTCTCTTGACTCCTCATGTTTTTTGCTCATCAAATTTTGTGATATGGTAATCCTTAAGAATTTGTTTTGTGTCAGCAACAAAAATTGAGTCAGTGTTTCTTCCAACGACGAGATATTGTATGTTTGTTGTGATACCTAATGAGCATTCAGGGTTATAGCTTGTACCTCCCCTGTAAGTTGTTCTTTAGCACAATTACCTGCAAAATATTTTTCCTCACAGTTAACACATAGTACAAGTACCACCTCATTTGAAGATTCTGGAGTGGTCTTTGCTATATTCAACTTTTGATTTAGTACTTCCAACTTCGTGAGAAGCTCTTCGTATCCTCCTAAAGTCAACTTACTGTGAGATTTATTTTATGTTTCCACAATTTGAATCCCTTTGGTATTTGCAAAGTTATACTCATTTCGACTCATTTTCTCTATTAGCTCCTTGACTCGTGGCTTGGTCAATGTTTTTATGGTTCCTCCGACGGATGCATCTAAAAGCATTTGTGCTTGCGTTTGTAGACCCTTAACAAAACTCTGCATTTGTTCCATACTGCTCATATTGTGATTAGGGTATCAACGTAACAACAATTTAAACCTTTTTTTCCTAAGAATCATAGAGAGATTCAGTCTCTTGTTGTTCGAAATGTGTAATTTCAGCTTTTCTTTCCATGAATTGTGTTGTAGTGAAGAATATTTCTAGAAATTTGTCTTCCAATTCTTTCCAAGTTCTTATTACTCCATTAGGAAGACACAATAACCAATCCTTCACTCTCCCAATCAAAGAGAAGTTGAATAATTTTAGTTTAACCTGATCCTTTGTAATACCCTCTGGTTGATACATTGACGTTGTCTCATAGAATCTGGCTAGATGTTCCCACGGGTCACTAGTTGCATTCTTGTCAAATTGCTTATCTCACAAATCCAAAAGCACAGAGTATTTGATGTTGAAATTCATCGGAGTTGTTGTGATGAACCCCTACGAAACGTGTGATACATCAGTAGGCCTACAGTAATCCCTCATAGTTTGTGCAATTGGTTCTGTCATGGTAACCGCTTCTACACTTGAGTTGTGTATACACATATAGGAAATACCTCAGAAGCACTATGATAAACAAGAAAATAAAATAAAAAACAATAAAAACTAAAAGCTTAAAATAAAACGTTGCACAAGTGTTGCCTTGTTAAAAATCAACAGTCCCTAGCAACGGCGCCAAAAACTTGATGACTTCTCGACAGGTGTACCGATAATGTCAAAGTAATAATTAAGATCGAGTCCACCGGGCTGCTTTTGAACAAGACAAATTTGTGCAATGTATAGAAAGTAGTAAATGATGGGGGGTTCAAGTTTGCAATGCAAAAAAGTAAAGTGGTCAGGTTGTGTATTGAATCCCTTATTTCTCTATTGTTAATGCTCGATGCCTTATATGAATAATCTTACCACTATAATCCCACAACAAATTAACAAAGCCACTATAACCAATCCCTTTCAGAATCACTCACTAATTAGGACTCAGAGTTTCCTATCCCTTTCCCACCAGCGTAAGCAGGATTAGACGATGCACAGAATGTTAATTCCATATGCCACTACTCTAGGTCTCCTATTCCTATTCAACCAATGTAATTGCAACAATTTCCCTATGTCCAACACATAGACTAATGGTCAATATTTCATATGTACCCAAAATCATTTTAAAATAGTATCTCACATAAAAAACATTAAGAATAATAAGCAATTGAATAGGAGTATAGATCAAAGTATTCATATAAAGTCAAATTAACATATTACCCGACAATATTGAAATAGGTTCATCACACACAACATAACTTAGAGGAGTTTAGCTACTCATAATTTAGATTATAATACAAATTAAATAAAGAAGAACTGCATATTATTTCCCTTGAAAGATTGGCCTCTAATGGCTTTAAATGCTCTCCAAATCACCCTTGATGTTGTAAAAATCATACTTGTAGTGCCAATTTTTGTCACCCTTGCAAAAGTGCAGAAGTTCCCCTTAAAAAGAGCTTAGAATGGATCAAACGCATCAAAAAGGGTCATCTCGTGCATGATGACCTGCATCGCGTGCGCAATGCAGCTAGTATAAATCTATCGCGTGTGTGATGTTGCACATGATTATTCTAATAGTTGCATGCTTTTGCTCCCTTTTCACATGATTTTTCACTAAGTCCAATTTCTTCACACTTAGTTATTTTTTCCTCATTCTTTGGTCTTTCTTTTCCATTTTAGCTTCTTTTTAACTTGTTTTGATATGATTCTTCAACTAAATTCATGCAATGACGGACTGTCATCAAGCACTCATCGTAGCAATCTTGATTTTGAGTCACTTTTATTGGGTAAATACTTCAAAGTTACATGATTTGTAAAAATAATAACTTTTAAACCAATTAAATAAGGACGGAATTTTGCCAAAA